CCCAGGCTGTGGAATTGTTATGGCAGCTGAAATAGACTAAGACATCAACTATTAAGTGACATTATTTTTTAGCAAATGCATGTCCTTTTCTCCTTTAGCTTCCATGTCATTGTGCTGTTGCTCCCACTGTCTTTCAATACTCTGGTCTAGACATGCCCCTTGTTCATATTTGTCCTTTAATTTTTATTTAAAAATTTTTTTAATTGATTTTAGAGAGAGGGGACAAAAAACAGAAACATCGATTTGTTCCACTTATTCATTGGTTGATTTTTGTATTTGCACTGACCGGGAATTGAACCTGCAACCTTGACGTTTTGGGATGATGCTCTAACCAGTTGAATTAAGTTCTTTACAGGCCAGGGTCAGGAGCTTTGTCTTCATTTCCTAAACAGTGCTTTTCTAACTTCTCCTTTACTGTCAGTACCTTCTTAGTACCCACAGGCTTAAAGCAGATTTTTTTCCTACTGTACTTCTCTTTGCATTTATCCTTTCACCAAGTCCTGCTTAGTTCTTTCTGTAATTCAGTTTGCTAATGTCTGTAGTGACTGGCACCATATTTAAAGCTTTGATTATTTTTATATTGGAGTCATAAATTATTGAAGCAGGAAGAAAGTTTAGAGTTAATTTAGTTTAATTCCTTTATTTTGTAGATGAAGAGTAGGATTCTCAGGTTAAATGACTTGTCTGAGATCACACAGCTAGTGCGTAGCTGATGTTACAGCTCTTTTGGTCCCAGTCTAGCATTCTTCTTAAAAATTTATTTAAAAAACTTATTGATCAAAGTTTTATCTATTCACAGTTAAGAGTGAGCTAGGTCTAGGTGGTTGGATAAGATAAAAAATAATTCTTAGCCACCCTACCCCCTTTTCCCCTTTCCTGAAGGCAACTATAATACTTTGAACTCTTTTAGCCAATTAAATATTACATATTTACTTCCATGTCTGAAGAGCATATATATATTTTAAAAATATATTGGGGTGCCTGGTTAATATGAACATACAGGTTTCAGGTGTGGGTTTCTATGTTACAAGATCTGTATATTGTACTGTGTGCCCACCACCCAAAGTCATACCTTCTCCCGTCACCATTAGGGACCCCCTTCATCCCCCCATTCCCTTCCCTCTGGCAACCGCCACAGTGCTGTTTGTGTCTACAAGTTTCAGTTTTATATCCCACATATGAGTGAAATCATATGGTTCTTAGTTTTTCTGGCTGACTTATTTGAAGAGCCTATTTGAAGAGTTCATACTTTCATGGATACCGTGTTTAGTGGTAAGTTACAAATAGTTGACCTTCTATAAACAACTTTTGTTTTCCTTGGAAATGTTGGATTTTTTTTTTTTAAGTATATTAATCACGAATTTAGTCTCAAAATCTTAGCCAGTTACATGATCAGGTATTCTATCAGCTTTATCTTTTTGAAGAAATCTTTTCCTGCTCCAGTCTGGACTGCTTGCCCTCCCTGCTGGAATCACAGTGATCTACTGTGATCCAAGAGATAGGATGAGGGTTGTTGTTGTGTTTTTGCCATTTTCCTACATTGGATTTCCTCTTTCTCTATTATCTGTTGTTGTCTTTCTTGTTGCTCTCTCTCCTGTTTCAGTGGAATACAGTCTCCAGTAGTTCTCTTGTGAGAAAGGTACGCAGAAGGCAAATCTTTTGGGTCTTTCTCTGTTTATGTATTCTTGATTGATAGTTTGGCTGGGTATAGATTTCTGAATTGGAGATCATTTTCTTTCTGTTAGTCTGTTCCTTTTGTAGTTGTTTTTACTTAATGGATTCGTTACCTTTCTGAGGATAACAATTTTATTTTTATGTTCTCTTTTTTCTTATATAGTCTTTTCTTCAACCAGCATTTTCTGTTTGTTTTGCTCTCTACCTTTCATGATAAAGGTTTTCCTGAGATGTCTGGTAACCCTTTGGTTTTCATTCATATTTAAAAGTCAGATACAGACAGCACATAGAGTTGATTCATATGAAATTGCCATCTTTTCCAGCTTTGTACACTGTCTATGAACATACTTAGCTGTCAGATTTTCATTTCTAATTAACACCCTCCACTAAAAGGAACCAGAGCTCCTTGGAGAAATGGCTGATTTCAGAGCTGAGGCAGAGAACGTACGAGATAAATCTGGAACATGTTATTCCAGGAAATAAGGAAGTGCTAAAAAAATATGAAAAGCACATGAGTCTGCTAGATGGGGCTCCCACTGGCCAAATCTGGGACAATTTGAGTATCAGGATGAATAATGACAATAAATAAAGAATCTGTGAGTCCACCCTGTTAATGAATTAGAAAAAAAGTGGGGAGAAGGGAACATACCTTACTGAAGTTAGAGTGTCAACTGATAAATGAAGAAGGAACAGTAGATTTTAAAAAACAAAACAGCCTGGCTGGGCATGGCTCAGCGGTTGAGCGTCGACCTAGCATCCAGGGGATCGTGGTTCGATTCCTGGTCAGGGCACATGCCTGGACTGCGGGCTCGATCCCCAGTCGGGGGCATGCAGGAGGCAACTGACCAATGACTCATCATTGATGTTTCTGTCTCTCTCTCTCCCTCTTCTTTCCTCTCCCTGAAATCAATAAAGGTATTTTTATTTTTATTTATTTAGTTTTAAAATATATCTTTATTGATTTCAGAGAGAGGGAAGAGAGGGAGAGAGAGAGATAGAAACATCAATGATGAGAAAGTCATTGATCAAGCCCACAACCCGGGCATATGCCCTGGCCGGGAATCGAACCCTGATCTCCTGGATCCTAGGTCAACGCACAACTGCTGAGCCACGCCCGGCCGGGCAATAAAGATATTTTTAACAATTAGTGTAACAGTCGATTCAGACAAGAATTGCCAGTGAGTACTAGAATTCTTGGGTGAATGTTTTAAGAACATAATCAAAATACCTTTCTACAGATTACTTACTAATTATTACTAAGGGAAAAATGGTTATTCTACAGTGGAGAAATATGGCAAATTTTAACCGAGTAATGAAAAATATCACCAGTAATGTGACAAAATGACATCATCTTATCTCTTTATGTGATACTCTAGGAAAAACAAAACTTAATTTATGTAGTATTTCTGTCAGAAATGCATACCTGTATTCTCCAAAGATGGCAATGAAATGAAAGACAGATAAATGCTGGACAACTGTTTCAGATGAAAGGAGATGAAGGAGACATGACATTAGCGTGTGATATGTGATTCTGGATTGAGGTGAAGGGGGATTCCCATAAAGGACATTATAGAGCATTTGGCAGAATTAAAATAGGAACTGTATAATCCGTATCTGATGATTAATTTGTTAATTCTTGATTTTGACCTATGTAGTGTGGTTGTGTAAGAGAATGTCCTTGTTCTCAGGAAATACACAGGGAACCTTGGAAGGTAAAGGATGTGATGGCTGCAGTGGATCAGATGTTGGGGATGCATGTGAGAGGGATCAAGCAAAAGGAACACGGTGATTGATGGGATCTAGGTGGAGGCTCTGTGGGTGTTTTCTCCTACTGCTCCTCTAAATGTTCTGCAAGCTCACAATGAAAAGATTTTTTTAAAGCCAGATTGAAATAAGAGAGGTTCATTGGAGGCTCTGATCATGGATGGGCTCAGTGCTTGTAAGCTTCCCAGCAGTGATTAGTTGAGCTCCTTTGGTTGGGAGGCCCCCCAGTGTCAGTATTGTTAGGCCTTTTTTCATGGAGGTCAGATCATTCAGAAGACACGTTTTCAGTCTTCAACCTGGTTGGGAATATTGGAGCTTTGTAGGAGGATCTGGCTTGGGGTGAGGTGTGCCTGTGTCTCAGCATTCATTTGGCAGTTCCCACAGTCCCTGTGTTTTCAGTGTGGCGGGCTCATCTCCAGCTGTGCTGGGACCTCCCAATTCAAGACCTTCCTTTTTGGCCTCCTCTTTTCATCCAGTCACTAGAATTTAAATGCCAAATTGTGTGTGTGTGTACCTTCTGTGGAGTATATAACTTTACTAGAATTGAAAGGAATCTGGAACCCCTGTTAGAGAGTGGTGGTGATGGGACTGGAATTATCCCTGATGTTTAGTAGTGCACTTTTTACACTAACATGTTGAGCTTGTCATGTCTAAGCACGTGGTAACACATGAACTGGTAAGATTTAAAGCAAAAATTTAAATGATCAATTATACTTTTTCACGTGTATGTTCAAATTGTATTTAGCCCTGGCTGGGTGGCTCAACAGCTACGCATTTAACTTAGAATTAAATATTCTTTTCATTTTAACCTAGAGTTGTTACTCTTTTGTTGATTCATTTTATTTGTTTTAAGAAGCAGTTAGTATTGTTTCTATTTATTATCTTATTTGAAGGGAAATGTTGAGATCACAGTGCAATATCAGTTTTATGGAAGAAAGGCATTAATTGAAAGCATTTTTTGGGGGGGGGCGGGATGTCTTTGCATTCTTACAGAATTTCTGATTAGTATATTGTCCAGTGTTTGAGTCTTTTTCTGCAGTATCAAGTTAAATGAAATGTCTTGGATGACAGTTTATAGTTCTTCCATGTGTAGTGTTTGGTTAATTGACATTAGAGACAGCTAGTACTTCAGTGACTTTAATGTTCTGCTCACAGTTTCTAGTAAAAGTTACAATTGCTTAATAGTATTAAATGGGACTACTTGCAGGCATTTAGAGGGAGCCGCTGTTAAAATTTTAGTATTTTAAAGTATGGTGCCTTTGCAGTCAATCCTATGTTGGGTAAGAATTTCATTGGTGTTTTTATAATATAGAGATAAATATGTATTTTTTCTTATTTGCTCACTGATAGTGCTATTACGGTGCCTTCATTTCTGAGTTATTGTTAGTATAGGATAAAAGCTGAGATACCAGGATGACTGTTCCTTTTTTCCTGTTTTTATACAGGAAAAAGTTCTTTTAACTAGAACTTTTCAATCCTCTGAGGTATAGTTCTGTGTAAGTCAAGACCCTGAGCCAGTGTCTTTAATGACAGCAGCCATCAGACCAAGAGAGTACATGTTGTGATTATATGCTCTTTTTTTTTTTTTTATAGGGGAGTTTCTGTTTTATGTCCACCTCCCACTTTATTCCTGCTAATCTGCTGATGCAATAAATTGGAAGACAACCATTGCCAGGATAACTTGTAATGGGCAAGGAGCCACAGGAAGAAAATATTTCTTTTAATTTTTAAACTTGGTTTGAAAGGTAAGACCATTAAGTGTATCAGGAGTTTTCTTCTATGAGTCACGTCAAGGAAAGCAGTGTACTGTCATGAGATTCTGGAGTCTTGGTGCACCAGGCTAGGCCATCCCTTTAAGACAGGTGCAGTATAGTTCTGTGGCACTATTTAGGAAGTTAAATAGCAGCCTCTGTAGTTGCTGTGGTATGTCTTGACATGTGCAGCACCCATGGGATTCCCAGTATCCTGGGAGGACTGAGCCTGGGCTCCAGGGACCAGCCAGGCCTAGCAAGCTGAAGCAGCCACAGAGAAAGACTGCTAGTAGATCAGCTGCTGCCTCTAGGTCACCTGGCTGCCTGTGTGTGTATGTGTGTTCCTGAGAGAGAGAGAATGTTTTACCAGCCAAAGGACATCTGGCTTTAGCCAGATGCCTGACTCCTTTAACTTCATTAAAGACCAGAGGTTGACTTTGCATATTTCACTTCTGGCTCAGTAGTCACTCCTTTGTGAATTCTTAGAGTACCTCATGAAATTATTTTAGGATTATTTCTTCTCTTTATGTAGATTTTAAGCGCTCAGTGAGCAAGACGTTCTGACTTCTACTTTATGTCTGTAGTATTTTTTAAATAATAGGTATTGTTAATTGGTGGTAGGAGCCAAAGGTTTAGAGACATTTCTCAGTATGACATTTTTTAAAAACTTTGTTTTCCCTTTTGCTCTCTCTTTTTTAAAACTTATTTTTTTCTTTGCTGATAGAGATTCTTAACTTTGGTAGCTTTTAGAACAGTTTTTTACCTTTAGCTTTATTCCTCCCTTTTTTCTTTTTACGCCCTCCTAATCATCAGTAATAGATGGACTCTTCTCGTAAGAAATTACCCAGAAGTCGCCAGGAGGCCGGGAATCTTAGTGGCCACTGTCACTTGCCTCAAGTTGGGTGACTCATAAACTGCACGTAACTTGCTTTCACTTAATGACAACTTGGGCGAGTTAGATTTTCCAAGTCTTCCCCCACCCCATGTTAGTGTCGAGCTCTGTGTCTAGCTGGGCAGTTTTCATGTCATTCCTTCTCAGGACTGCCCTTCCTCCCTACAGTTTTAGGGTTGGGCTTAGAAACAGTTTTTTGTTATTGCGGATAACAGCCATGCTAATCACATCCTGTTTCCTCTTGCTCTCCAGTTACATGTCACTTCTTTCTCAAGTCTGACTCAGATTTGTTGACGGGCCTACCTGGTTTCAGAGATTGAGAGGCTCCTGGATGCTTGCAATGGAAAAGCCTCTATTTAGGACCTACAGTCTCACTTGACTTTGACATTTATTGCACACACATGCTCACATGCACATATACACAAAGTGGACACCTAGATCCAACTGGGTTTTCCTTGTCTTTATTTTTTTAATCTCAAACAAGGATCCTGGCAAGTCTTTGTTTGTTTGTTTGATCTTTATTGATTTCAGAGAGAAGAAAGGAGAGGGAGAGAGATAGAAACATCAGTGATGAGTCATTGATCGGCTGCCTCCTGCACGCCCCCTGCTGGGGATTGAGCCCGAAACCCCGGCATGTGCCCTGAACAGGAATCGAACCTCCATCTCCTGGGTCATAGGTCGATGCTCGTTGCTGAGCCGCGCCGGCCGGGCCTGGCGAGTCCCAATTACCATTTTCATCCTCATTACTTGTCTTTCCAGTCCCTCAGTCTTACGTGTTTTGTTTCGTTGTGTTTTTTTAAAAAAAACCTTTAGTAAAATAAATCATGCTTTGCATATACTTGCCCTGAAGTTTTTGAAATTGTGGGATTTTTGCTCCAAAATGAATGTACATTTGTGTTTTCATAGTGAGAATTTGTGTAGGAACACCTCACTGTACTTGCTTTAATGTGGACTACGTGAGCAAAGCAAGGCTGGGTTTTCTTGATTGGCAGTTGACTTTTTTTAATGTAAAAGTGAAGTGGGTGATAAGATCTTATCTCTCTCCCAGCCCTTATCATCTTTGCAGTCAGTGTATTTAGAGTTAGCCCCAGTGTGTGGGTAGGCATGTGCTTTCTAAGGGTCATGTATTTCCCAGGCAGGTCAGAATTCCAAAGGCAAGCCATAAATTGTATCATCTGATACCAAAGTACAGCCAGAAATGAAGGGAGCATGAAGATTAGACTTTAAGGAAGCAAAATTGTGGTTGAAATGTGAGGAGAATGCTAATTTAGTATGGAAGCTCTTAGGGGAAACCTTCATTTTCAAAGTAGAGACTATGATAGGGCCTTGCCATCTTCTGTGAGTTGTTTTAAAATCTATCTTCATTGATTTCAGAGAGAGGGAAGAAGAGAGAGAGAGAGATAGAAACATCAATGATGAGATAGTCATTGATCGACTGCCTCCTGCATGCCCCCAACTGGGGATCAAGTCCACAACCCATGCATGTGCCCTGACTGGGAATTGAACCCCGGTTACCTGGATCCTAGGTCAATGCTCAACCCCTGAGCCACGCCCGGCCGGGCTTCTGTGAGTTATTAAATGGGCTCTGGAGTCTTCCTTTGGACTCAGCTCTCTGCGGTCCATCTTTCACGTTGTTGACAATTCTGTACTTAAACTATAGATCTGATCTTGTCGCTCATTTGCCATATCTTAGCAGGGTGTACCGTTTCTCCAGTGACCCACATTAGTGGTCTTGTCTTCAGCACGCCCTCCCCTAGCCCACGTGCCAGTCACCTTCAGAGAGTTGGCCTTTTTAGGAGTGCAACCTCTGTTGAAAGTGTACTTGTCACAGCTTAAACGTCTTCTCTATGTCACCTTTCCTCTACTTCTATTCAGAATTTTCTTGGTTATTAAAATACACTGCTTAATCTTTATGTAGATAGATAACGTACATTTATCTCAGTTAAACTCCTTGGTTCCCTCTTTTTTTCTAACAAGCCTGCACAGTGCTCTGCTGCTCATTCCTGCACAGCTCTTTGAGGCCTGCCCTTGTGCCGCCCGACCTTATTCCTCGTGCCTTCTGAAGGACTCGCTCTTCTCTTTGTCAGGACATTCTCCCTGCCGTGAACTTCCTGAAGCTGCTGGGTCTTCCTGTCCTCTGTGCCTGCAGGCTGGTTTCCCGTGGACTGGGATACTTTGTGCTTCCGCATCACCTACTAAACTCTACTTCTCTTCTAAAGCCTCCATGTAATCACCTCTCTTCTGGTCGGGCTCTCTCCCATTGAGCTCCCTTCCTACAGAAGAGGCTTGGGGTGGATCCCTTTATTCTCTTTATCTTTCATCCTCTGTATTTTCTCTCTCCTTGTTTTATTGTGTTCCTCCAGGGGAGGGACTGTCACACCGTACAAGAGTACGGTGACATCCTTTAGTACGGTGTATGCTTTACAAGTACCAGTTGATTTGTGTCGTGCATATTAAGTGGAGTTGAGTTGAGTTTTTTACTTACTAAAGAAAAGCTGAAATATCAAAGAAATTGCAAAATAAAACTGGGAAAGATTCTGGAATGTCTGGATGGTAGAAACTTGATTGCCTTTTGCACATTCTTTGAAAGAAGTAGTTGCAGAGCAAACACTATAAAACTGGCTCTAAAATATGTTCTCTCTCACAGGCGCTTTGACATTTGATTTAATTAGTCCTTCTTTGGGTGGGGCCTGTATGACATGGATGCCTTGCTAAGAATGGAGAAGCAGCTACTGGGTGGCCTTCCAGGGCTTTGTGATCTTCTTCCTCAGGACTTAGTGAGAGCTACCTTTGAAGGCCAGCTGTTATTTCTTCTTTGTGTCCCGTGCTTTTGCCTCTTCATGTGAAAATTATTACATTTGCCTGGGCACTGAGCTTTGCTCTTAGGAGGAGGAGTTTATGGTTAACGTATAACGCTGAGAGATGACCTTCCTTCCGAGTGACTCTGCATTCTCCTATTTATAGATGCTTTCCTCCAGTGTCCCCTTCTAAGCGGCTTTCGGTGTACCAAGTGAGCAGCCACCAAACCCTTCTTGAACCCAGGAGTTCCCCATTTAGGTCTTGTAGATGCTGCCCAGCTAAGTTCCCCAGATACCTGAATCCAAGCCCAGGGAGGGGCCCTGAGACTCCAGGTGTCGACCCTGGCAGGAGCAGGTGAGCCAGTAAGAAGAGCCTTTCAGCAGCTTGCTGTGTTTAACACATCCTGTTCCCAGGCTTCTTGTAAACTGGGCCAACGGTTTGGTGTAAGCGTGCTCGCTGCTGGTGGAATAGGCAAGTTGTTTTGAATCTAAATGGAGGCCATGAGGCTCAGTTTTCTCCCGGACAAATGGGGAATCTAGTTTTTTGTGTGTACTTTTTAAAGTACTTTAATCAAACATCATTGCTTCCCCACATGTTTGTGTGACCTAGCCATTTTTTCCCTTTGTTATATAAATATTGATTTTAGAGGAACTGCGACGGGGAGAGACATCTATCACCTGCCTCCCCACATGTGCCTTTAACGGGGATAGAACCTGAAACCTGGGTCTGTATGTGCCCTGACTGGGAATATAACCTGCCACCTTTTGGTGTTCAGGATGACACTCCAACCAACTGAGCACACCAGCCAGAGCCTTTTGTAATATTTTTTAATTAGTTTATAAAATGAAATAAACTCCCAGTTACAAGCACCTCTTTCTAAATTTAGGTAGATATATCTAAACCAGTAATGAAGCCACTTGATGGCCCTCCTGATTTAACACCTAGCCTTCTCCATTTTGAGAATAAACATGATTTCTCATGTATGTTTCTGTTTTAGAAGAGATGAAAAATGTGGCCCATAACTTCTCCCTACCCACACTTCACACTGGCCCTTGTGTGGAAAGGTTAACTATTGACTTTGGCAGTGGAAGTAGATGAATAGGGGCCTATTTTAGGACCAGGAGAGAAACTTTGAATCATAATTGTAGTAATCATATAATTAGAGCTGCCTTATCCAACACAGCAGCCACTGGCCACATGTAACTTTTTTAAAACCTTGTTAGACATCTTTATTACAAGTGTTGTTACATTCTTCACTCCCTGCATTGCAGAGTGAGTATCACTTCCATTCCCTGAACTAACCCTGTCTGCATACACCTTGCAAGTAGGTTCCTTAGAAACATCTGTATTAGAAGTGTTATAATAAACATCACTACTTCTTTTACAGCATGGGTACCACTTACTTTCCCTGAAATCACACTATCTTGAATGCTGCTTGCCAGTTGCTTTGTTAGAAACGTAAGACACATGTGACTCCCAAGTACATGAAATCTGACTTTTGGAGACTTAGTACCAAAAGAATGACATATTGAAATAATGTTTGGATATGTGAGGTTAAATAAAATACACTATTAAAATTAATTTTTGCCGGTTCCTTTTACTTCTTTGATGTGGCTACTAGAAACTTGAAACTTACATGTGGCACCCTACCAGGTAGCTCGTTGGTTAGAGCACTGCCCTGCCTAATATACCAAGGTTGTGGGTTTGATCCCCAGTCAGTGCACAAATAAGAATCAACCCATGAATGCATAAATAAGTGGAACAGCCTTGGCCAGCGTGGTTTAGTGATTACAGCGTCGGCTCAATTCCCGTCTTGGCTTTGATTCCTGGTTAAGGGCACATACCTGGGTTGCAGGTTCAGTCTGCAGCCCCAGTCCAGGCACGTGCAGGAAGCAGCCAATCAATTCCGACTCTCTCGTCATTGATGTTCCTCTCTCTCTCTCCCTTCCTCTCTCTGAAATCAATTTTAGAAAGAGGGGGCTCTAGGCAGTGCTGCGGGGAGACGTACACTTGGGCAATATGTGTTTGCATACCTTTGTATAAGATTATGACAAAATTTGTTTACAGTGATTCCCTTCGTAACATATTTTAAAGAAATAGTATTAAAAATTATAACACATTTTGTTTTTTTAACTCTTTTCCATGTGTTATCTTATTTGGAAGCAGCTGCTTCTCTTATTTTTGTAGTTTGTACATTTAGGTAACTGCAACTGTTTAAACTAAAAATATCTTGTAAAAGTTTATTGCAAGACTGGAGATGATAGCAAATATTCACTTAGGATTTGGAATCTTGGGGATCCCAGTGGGGCCAGTTATGAAATGGTATAGATGGGGCTGGCTCCATGGGTGTGGAATCCATGCAGTCTCACAGGGCCCCAGACCCAGAGCATTTGCTTTAATGCGCTGCTGTTGCTGTCTTGAAATTCTTCATAATGCTGAATCCTTTTTTTAGTCTTTGAACCTTTGCCCTGTGCCCTGGCAGTCCTGCATATAGTATTCCACAGTTGATAGCAACGTGTAGACTTGGGGTTTTATCCTACTTGGATAGAAAATTGCTAAATTTAAGCAGAGTTAGTTTATATGAATAGGAGATTTTGAATTTTCAATTTGTTAAGGCCCTTGTCATTCCCACAGTTTGCTTCTCAGTTGTAGATAGGATGATTAGCAGTTTCTCTCTTCAGAGCTCTAATAGTTTGTCTGTTAGCATGTTTGTGGTATCACTTTTTTTGGCCCCTGTTGGAAAGTGATATAATATGTTATGTTCCGCTTCTGTCCTGTTGAAAGAAAGCCTGCTAATATCAGCTTGTCCACAGGGAGTTTCTGAAATAAACAGTCACATGCTTTTCCTGTTTCTCAGGGCTATATAATTGCTTTGAATTACTTATTGCAGTTCTTTTTGTTGTCGTTCATCCTCACCTGAGGGTATTTTTTCCATTGCTTTTCAGAGGGAGTAGGAGGGAGGGAGGGGAAGGGGGAGAGAGAGAGAGAGAGAAACATCGATGTGAGAGAGAGACAGTGACTGTTGCCTCCCACTCGCACCCCGATGGAGGCAGGGAGCAAATGCACAACTGAGGTATGTGCCCTTGACCCAGAATCGAACCCAGGACTCTTCAGTGTGCAGACTGACACACCACTGAGCCACACCAACCAGGGCTATTGCAGTTTGGTACAACTGGTCAGCAGTGGTTTCAACCCAAGGCAGCATTCTGGGAGCTTGCTAGAGAAGCTCAGGCCTGACCCCTGCTTTTCTGAGTCAGAATCTGAGACTGCATTTTAACAGGACCACTAGGTGTTACCTATGCCCATGAAAGTTTGGGAAACACTGGTTTGAAGCTCGCTTACTTCAATGGTGAGCATTTTACTGCACAGTAACTTCCATTTGCCGAGTGCCTGAATGTTCCGGCTGCTGTATTGGGCCTTTCTTATTGACGCCTTATAGCCAGTTTACCTGGGTGGATACTGACTTAGAGAGGTGAGGTAGCTTTCCCGCTAATTCACGTCATTCCAGCATTGGAATTCAGGTCTGTTTAGATGCTTAATAGTCCTAACAAGGTTTTGTGGGAAATGGCGTTTATTTGGTGAAAGCAAGCAGTTGTAGGTGATTTACATAAACCACAATTGGGCCCCTATTGAATGAAATTACTCTGCATCAGTGCGTGGCACGTTCTCTGGAGGGACTGGTGTTCTTGTCCTTGCTCTTCTGGATGGTTAAAGCATATCACCTTTTCAGTTCCTGTGTCATAGAGACAGGGTGGCACCTTTTCTTTAAGAAGCAAAGTGTCACTGCCTAAATGCTGTGACATAAAGGTACCATGGCCCAGATTTTGCTTCTGAGTAGGATGGTATTTCAGTAATTTCAGATGACCTTTAATTAAAGCAGTTGATCTGAGATGAATAGGTTTAGGGTCCTTTGGCCCTATTTTGCACATATTAGATGGTAATTTTCACTTGTGTCTTAAGTTTTGGGGAAGGTAGAAAACAGCGGAGGCCATTAGGTCTGTGGCATCAGGTAACAGGTAACTCCCTGGTGGCCTTACCCATCTAATAATCTTTCAGCCCTTTTGGAGAAAATCCTGTTTTCAAGCAACTTAATTATAGCTGTGGGATGACTTTATTTATTTATTTTATTTAATTTTTAATCCTCACCTCGGGATATTTTTTCGTTGCTTTTTCAGAGAGAGTGAAAAGGAAAGAGAGAGAAACATAGATGTGAGAGAAACACATCGATTGGTTGCCATCCCCATGCATCCCGACGGGGCTGGGGATTGAGCCTGCAACCATGGTATGTGCCAGAATCAAACCCGAGACCCTTCAGTCCAAGGACCGACGCTCTAACCACTGAGAAAACCTGCCAGGCCTGTGGGAGGACCTTTAAAGGGTGTTTATATTTAGTAAAAATGAACTTGAAATTCTGACTCCTTTCAGTTTTTCTGAATGTCTTAGAGTATTTTTAAAAGGACTCCATTTTGCCTCAGGGTCCTGGGCAGGTGATCTTTGTAACTATTGCTTCTACTTCAAAGGGCACAAATAGAAGCTAGGGCCAAGCCAGGGTAACTATTTTACCAACACCATTCATTTCCAGTCGATTTGCTCTTTGGCTAAAAGGTAAAGCACATAATGTTTGCTTTAGGAATCTACTATAGTTATATTTTATTTTTAAGTTTGTAGTACCCAGTTTAAAGAAAATGCACTGTGGAAATTTGTATGTGTTAGCGTTTTGACTTGAAATATGCTATTGTAATTCAAGGTACTGGAAAGCAAAAAGAGTTAGGCATTTAAAAAAGATATTTGCTGCCCAGCCGGGCATGGCTCAGCAGTTGAGCATCGACCTAGGATCCAGGAGATCGGGGTTCGATTCCCGGTCAGGGCACATGCCCGGGTTGCGGGCTCAGTCAGTGACTCTCTCTCATCATTGTTTCTATCTCTCTCTCTCTCGCTCTACCTTCATTTCTCTGAAATCAATAAAGATTTATTTAAAAAATAAAAATAAATAAAAATAAAAAATAAAGAAGATATTTGCTGAAGAATTCCTTTTCTTGTGTTTAAATAAATATAATAAAGTGCATAGTCACAGGCTCGGGATTAGAGGAGCCAGTTGGTTGGGTGGGCCACACTACATTGCTGGGACACAGCCCAGGTGTAGGTAGGATGGCTCACCATAACAGCTGAGGGCAGGCCCTGGGGTTGGCAGGCAGTTTTCTTCCCTGTAGTGTTTTGGGTACAGAAGCATCTCCAGTTTTCCCTTAGAGCTGTTTATGTCATCAGCATCCGGCCAGAGGCAGGGGAGGGTACATGGAGGTTTTTACTGTTCACAGCGCACTGGAGAAAGCTGTCATGTGGCCATACCCGCTGCCGGAGAAGTTGGCCCCATAGTCTAGGTCTCAGTACTTGTCATTGTTGCTGAAGATATTTGTCCTGTGTAAGAATGTGTTCTTCACCCTTAAGAAAGGGGTTACTTCTTCAAGTGTGGATGTGATCATTTTGCAGCTTAAAGTCCCAAGATTTAGCATTCTTTTAGCATTTTCAGGTCAAATTTTTGTTATCAATAATTTTTTTCTGAGAAGGAAAAAAAATCCTGCTTATTTACAAAGTATTTTATAGGTTCAATGTGAAACTTATTCTACTTATGGCATTTTAGACTGTAAAACTGAACTGAAATGAATATGTGAAGTTAACATTGTATTTGAATACTCTCTGCGTTTTGTTTAGACCAGCATGTTTTGGAAATTTGATCTTCACTCATCATCCCACATAGACACACTTCTAGAAAGAGAAGATGTAACACTGAAGGAGTTAATGGATGAGGAAGATGTTTTACAGGAATGTAAAGCTCAGAACCGCAAACTTATAGAGTTTCTGTTAAAAGCAGAATGTCTCGAAGATTTAGTCTCGTTCATTATAGAAGAACCACCTCAAGACATGGATGAAAAGATCAGATACAAGTAAGAAATTCGATATTCTCTTTAGGGTGGGACTGAAGTGAAGTGGGGGTAGAATATTATTCATTCTCATACAGCGATTCCCTATGGCTGCTGCAGACCATTAATAAAACGTTTAGACAGTCAAGAATCACAGGCTCAACCAGCTGGTGTGGCTCAGTGGTCGAGTATCGACCCATGAACCAGGAGGTCACGGCTTAATTCCCAGTCACGGCACATGCTGTGGTTGTGGGCCTGATCCCCAGTAGGTGAGTGTGTAAGAGGCAGCCGATGAATGACTCTCATCGTTGATCTCCCTCCCTCCCTCCCTCCCCTTTCCTCTCTCTGAAATCAATAAAAACATTAAAAAAAACCCAAAACGATAGGCTTAGCGGAGCACACAATCTGATCTAAAAGGAAATCTAGTGAAATGACAGGATTTTAAAAATGAATGTGCACTCAGAAAGACAAAGTGCTAAATTTAAGCACGTAACACCTTGGATAACTACAGTGGATTTTTCTACTCACTAGTTCCACCTGCTTACAAGCAGACGGATAGTGCAGTGAGATCCTTTGTCACAGTCTGGCGCTTTCTGTACAGACCCCTGGATACTCTGAATATTCCATATGTTTTTGAAGTATTGGGGTTTCAGTTGTTTTTCCATCTCCAACTCTATTGAAATATTTGGCTTCTCCCCCCCCCCCCC